GTTTCTTTCCATAACTGCTGAAATAAGGTGGTCCTATTGCAGCGAAACACTGCTTATAAATGTTACATAACAGATGTATGACATGCTCCAAATATTCACTCTTTTGCTTTTTGGAGAAGTGAGGAGCATTACTCTTTCAGCGAAATAAATCATGTCTCAAGTCTTTAGACAAACCATTTTTTTGAATTGATTTAAAAACAACTCAAATTCAAAGCGAGTTTATAAGCACCACTTAGGCATCACCGACGGATGGTTCTGCTTTCTAAAAACTAGATGTTTTACAAATACTGATTTATGAGCAAGCTGATTTTATCTAAGAAAATTGACAACTCGCTAAAACTGAGTTTTCACTATCCTTTGGCATTAACCCTGAAACGTCTTACGAGGAAGGCTTAGACTTTGGGTTTACAAGAAAAAAATTGGAAAGTAAATGGAGTACGCTGATTTCGAAAATCCGCATCAAAATCTAATAAAATAATTTGAGTCGAGCAATGGCCGTGCGGTAGAGCGACATTTCATTCAATCTCAATTTTTAGCACCGGTAGTGACCTTACCGTACTTTTTGACAGATTAGCCAAGTTCAAAAAATCAATAAAATGATTATAGTAGCTTTGACGATGTGATGATAAAGAAGGTAGAACAATAGGAATCGAAGATGTAAGACAAATTAGATTTTTTGCAAGTTGATTTAAAACAGCTAATTTCCGCCAAAATCCTTGTAGAAACTCTTGAGGGTAGTCTAGTGTGACGAAATTTTTTTACAAAGGTAACCTTAATTGCTAAGTTCAAATTAATTTATAGCGGATTTCCACATTCATCCCATGGCCTAGAATTTTCAATAATGGGGTGTAGCAGTGAAACAATGTGGAATTCATCTTGTTGAAAGCACTTTACCGCAGTATAGTTCAAACTCCTACATACTTCAAGTAGTTATAAAAGGCACCCGAAACTGCTGTGTAGAATTAATGTTTGCAAGATTTTGACCTAATGTAATTGATGAAAAAGCAAAGGTACCTTGGGCCAGAATCTACAAGCGTTTGCTGCTTGGAGGTGACGATCACCTTCTTTGAAGAGAAAGTGGTCAGCTATGAGCTGATCTTGGGTAAGCTTTGTCATCCCATCCAGTGCATAGTATTTGCCTTTTAGATCATCGTCTGTGAACGACTCAAATGCTTGTTTGAGCTTCCTCTCCATTTCCAAATAATTCTTCTGAACCGCGAGTATACCGGCATTCAGAATGTAACCACGTATAATTTGATTAGGGTTATTCAACTATCAATTATAATCGAATCTCAACCTCTGTTAGGCAAGGATTGAAAGGATATCCTGTCAATGCTCGTCCGCAGCGGATGCGAGTTGATTTGATATATTTGCCTTTTGGATCGAGAGGGGGAAACTCGTGAATCTTCCCTTCTCCCAAATCAACGGGAGGCTGCTTTTCACTAGGACCAAATCCATGATAATCTTCGATGATTTTGTCGAACAACAGCGCAAATGTCTAAAGAAAGCTATATTACGCAGATCATAAAACCATCCATCTTTCTACCTTATATGACTCGGTATCCGGAGCATAAACACCTATGCTAGCATCGAGATTGTGTACTCCTGTAAACAGCAAGGCTAAATAGCAAACAACAGCAACAATTGGCGCTATTCCACCTTCTCTGACAAAAAATACAAGGCTTCAAATTCGCTGAATCTTTGTCTGGACAGGTTGTTTGATGTGCTTATCATTGTCGTGTCCATTTAGCATGGTAATTACTAGTTGTGGAAACATAGTAATTACCATGCTAAATGGGTGCATAGTAGAAATTTGAAATCATCGATTTAGCTAAAAGGTATTGGGGTAACATGATTTGGTGGTTACAGATATCACCCATTTACCATAGTACCTTCCTGTGAGATATAATGTAGGTAGGGGTTCATCATCTACAATAAAAAGTTACCATGCAGAATAGATACGATATTGGTGATCGACATGTCGAATTCCTTAGGCGCGGTTCAAGCGATTTCCAAAACTCTAAGTTTCTGGGTTAGATAAAGTGAAGTAAAACCCAGTAACTACATGTTAAGCGGATGTTTGCTAACATTTTATGAATTACACAAGTTTCTTTTTATCGTCATCTTCTCTTAACGTGCCGCAA